ATGTGAAAAGACAATTTTAAACAAGCCTTGATCAAATTTTTATGTGAGTTTTGGCAGAATGATATGTTTCTTGAAATTGTAAGTACTAAAATTATATATACCAATTGCAATGACGATTGTTACAAATTTACTGTTGTGAAAGGACAGGAAGTCAGGAAGAAATTCCAACTTACGACGGCCATTAGGCCCGAATTAAAACCCCTTATCAAAGGTCATATAAGTAGAGAAATTGTTGATATCTTCAAGTGTTTCCATGAAGAAGCTGACAGCCGAATAGTCTATCATTTGTCAAAAATAGGGTACTTGCATCAATTTTTTTTATTGCTGATTTCGTTAGTCTATAAAAAAATAAGTCAACACGTGTTTTTCCTTTTTCTTCTTAGTCAAAAATTGACGGAGATACAACGCTATGAAATATGCCTATGACGTCACTTATCATATAAATTAGTGACGTTGCACATGCTCAGTATATCTATATATACAAAACTTAATATTTGTATAACTTCCGGAATAATCATATTTGGGCGAAATTAAAAAAAAGCAACGATTTTTTTTTTCGATTTCTTACAGTTTGCAATAAACAATAATCAATTTAATTTTCCATGCAAGTACCCTATTGTAGCAAATACCGCAAATACTAATGTGGTAGTTCGTGGATCTGACACTGACGTATGGCATACTAATTATTCTGCTAGGAAATCTACACAAAATTAATAAAAACGTCAATGTATGGATGGAGGTTGGAGTTGCATCTAAAAATACCTGTAGATTTGTGACGTATGCAATATTCAATAAATTGGGATCTATAGTATGTGTAAATTTCTACCAACTTTTGTAGTAAATTAGGTTAAAACAAAATTGCTAATTAGTCTTACTGACTAGATTGTAATGTAATAAACACAATGTGTTTGACAAATAAAAAAAAAAAAAAAAACTTTTTATGCTTTTACTGGATGTGATTATACCTCATGCTTTTCCAGGAAAGGTAAGCTGAAGACGTTTGGTATAGTTAAGAAGGACCAGAAATCGAAAGAAGTATTTGGTACATTTGGCTATTATAACCAAATGTACCAAATACTTCGCTGGCATTTTGAAAGAGCGAATTGAATCAATAGAAAGGTTCATCTATGAAATGTACGGAAAACCCAATTTGTGTAATATCAATGATGCTCGATTCGATATTTTTTGCGATCATTGTAACCCCAAACCTAATCAAAGTCTGTTCAAGAATCTTAACACATTTTTGCATGATGATAACATCGTACTATCAACCGTTTTTTAGATTCTTGATTGGGTTTTCCGTACATTACACAGATAAACCTTTCTATATAGATCTCTTTCGAAATGCCAGCATTATAGCCAAATCTACCAAATACTTCTTGTAGTATCTGGTCCTTCTCAACTATACCGAACGGCTTCAGCTTGTATTTTCTGGAAAAGGATGCGGTATAATCACATCCAGTAAAATCATGAAAATCTGGTAGAGATTTGCACATACTAGATCCCAATTTATTGTGGATTGCACTTACGTCCACAAATGTACTGGTATTTTTATAGATGCATCTCCAACCTCCATCCATACATTGACCTTTTATTAATTTTGTGTAGATTTCCTAGCAGAATAATTAGTATGTCAGTATCAGATCCACGAACTACCACATTAGTATCTGTGGTATTTGCTTCAATGTGGATTATTCGGCTGTCAGCTTCTTCATGGAAACACTTCAAAGTATCAACAATTTCTCAATGTATATGTCCTTCGACAACAGTAAATTTGTAACAATCGTCATTGCAATAGGCATAAGGGTATAGTTTTATCACTTACAATTTACAATTTTCACAAACATATCATTTTGTCAAAAATCGCATAAAAATTTGATCAAGGATTGTTTAAAATTGTCATTCGCATTACCTTCATAAAATCTGATGTACGTTGTTGTTCAGAACCATGAGTTAAGAATTGCAAGTAGAGTGGAAGGTAAGGCGTCATTCCACCTAGGGAATCATTCTGCCCCCCACCACATACCCCCCCACTCCTAACCCCACCACCTACCCCACTCCTAATTCCACCACCTACCCCACTCCTAACCCCACCACCTACCCCACTCCTAACCTCACCACCACCCCCACTTCTAGCCCTACCAAATACCCCGCTCTACCTTTTTCTTCCTCCTTCGACTAGTGTATATCAAACTCTCCGGTTTCATACGATTTTCATTAGGTTGTTCAATCAGTTTAGTGAGTGATGAACATAGCACAAATGTTGACTCCGTGAGTAGTGGCAACAGTTTCCGAACTCCAATTTTTTTTTATTGAACATTTAAATGAACTCATTCAAAGTATTTCAATTTATAATGCAGAATTAATTTTTTCAATTGAAGAAATGATAGAATTGTGTGAAACATTTTTACAATATAAGATAAGTACTAAACATTTTTGTGATCATATCTATATAGTGAATTTGGGACTACAGTCAAATAAATTAGCAAAAGAAATGGAAAGTATGACTTTAGAAGAATACATTTTTTGTCCAAGATGTTTCAATGTAGTGATTGTAGTAAAACTTTTACTCAAAAATACAATCTTTACAGACACAAAAGAGAATCGTGCATATATAGACCATCATGTTCTAGTGACCAATTCTCTATCAAAAGAAATGCTGATTCCTAAAAAAGTGATCAACCACCAAAAAAACCGAAAATACAAGAAAGTAATGTACAAAAAAATTTACAACAATCGAAATTACCAAAACTTATACTAGCACGTTGTAAGGAATGTGATGTATGGTATGCAAGAAATAAAGCTAGTGCACATTCACGATCTAATGTTCATAAAACTGCATTACTTCAGAAAAATGATTATGATGATGATGATGATCGTGTAATAGTTATTTATGTACCAAGGCAGTAAAGTGATACTTTATCGAACGAGTCTGAGATTATGAGTCGAGCGAGCGAAGCGAGCGAGGCGAGTAAAAGGGCGAGTTCGGTAAAGACACTTTACTCACATGGTGCATACAAAACTTTATCGCCAACCGTGAAAATGCATAACTGTAAAAAATGATGATATTATAAAGGTGCGATTTCGGTGACGCGGCTGGCTGCGGCGGTTAGCAGCTGCGTCTCCAGCCGCTGCACTGATTTGTACAGTTTCAAATGGAACTAATTTGGCTTGCGCAGCGCGACTAAAGCGGCGGCAGCCCGCGCTGCAGCGGCTGCTGTTCGACTGCTCGTGAAGCAGTCGAGCGGCTGAAATCCTAGTGACTAGGGCAAAAAATGGCGCCATTTACGTCAAATGACGATGAAATTTCAATCAACGAAATACAAAAATATCCCGTAATTTATGATTATGAAGACAAAAATTACAAAAATTTTGTTATTAAAGAAAATTGTTGGAAAAAGGTCGCTAAAGAATTTAAAAAAAAAGAAGGTTAGTATCATATTGTAAACAAATTTATGCTATTTTAATGGTTAAATCAAAATCTGCGAAATGACTTGTAAATTTTAATAGCGTAGTTATAGTTGTTAGCTAATTTTTCTACCACATACCTACCGGAATAACTACCCTTCCTCTCATATAAACTAAAATCCGGTAAAAACTGGCTGTCGTCTGCCAAAAAACTGGCGGGAACGCTCCGAATTGTCTGCAAACTATCACCATCTTTTATATGCGATTAGGAATTTCACTAGAGCTTGTTTACCAGCGATTATTTCACAAGAGCTATTTAACAGCGAATATTTTTTTCGGTTCCTACGTCATACCCATATATTTTTAAATTTTGAGTTTCTAATCTTTGTTATGGACTGTTACCTACATACATTATACTATATATATTATAAATTAAAAGTTCATAAACTCGTCTCTGATGCGAAATCCATCAGAATCTTGAAAACCTCCAGCTCTTCTAAAATTTTGCATGGTTTGCGTATTTTGTTCATTTGGGTCATATTCGTAATACGGAGATAAATTATTTTTTTCCAAGTATGCATCCCTTAATAAATTGTGCAAACAACAAGCGGCAAAAATTAAATCATCGCAAACCTCTGGTTTTACATTTATATGTGTATAAAACACTCTAAAAACCTGACAAAGTAAACCACCAAACGCATTTTCGGTGACTCTTCGAGCACGGCTCAGTCTATAATTAAAAATCGCTTCGGATTTTACAGAATTTGCTGAAGTTTTATTAAAAGGCTTCATAATATTCTTGTGCAAACGAAAGGCTTCATCACCAATAATTACGTACCTATGGTAAAACTCTGTTTGAATGTGGCAATTTTTGATCAGATGGAAAAAAGTCTTCATTACCCAATATTTTTTTACCAAAAGCAGACTTATTAAAAATTGCACTGTCGCCTTCCTTTCCATATGACCCTACATCCAAAGCAACAAATTTATAATCTGCATCAACCATTGCAAAAAGAAATATGGAAAAGTAATCCTTATAATTAAAATGTAAAGAACCAGATTTTGCTGGTGCAAAAATTCTGACATGTTTGCCGTCTATAGCTGCCACGCAGTTAGGAAAATTCCAGTGACCCCAAAATTCTTCAGCATTCTTTTTTTAAAACTTCTTTGGTTGGTGGCGACAAAAAAATAGGTATTAAATTCTTGCGTATCGCAGCCAGTGTTTTCTTAATAATTATGCTGATATAGCTAGGTGAAATTCTATAGGCAAATCCAAGAGATTTGAAGGTTTCACCAGTTGCCATAAACCTACAATCAATTAAAATAAATATATGTATTTTATCATATATTTACAAAAATAATTAATTTACTGAACACTGCTAATTTTTTCTTTATCTACAGTTGAAGATTGCAAAAAAAGATGGAAATGTATAAAGGATACATACTTCCGAAACAAAAAAAAAGCAAAAATTAGGAACGGGCGCTGCGGCAATTGACAAACCAATAAAATGAATCCTGTTCGGGCAACTTTCATTTTTAGACGGGGTAAAACACGATACACGATAACACACAAAGATCTGCTACTGCTTCAGAAGAAGTGTTGATTTCTGCTTCTAGTTGCGATGAATCTACAACAAATAGTGCAAATCTGGAAGTCGAATTTGTAGAAGATTCAAACATCTCTCGTGCACAAGACACTTCAACAACAACTTTGAGTCCACAACATCTAGATGATTCAGCGACTGAAAGAGAGTGCTCGACACCGGCACTAAAACGAAAGTCCAAATCTTCTAGAACTATAAAAAGTGTATCAACATTTGCTTTTGAAGAGAGATCGCAAAAAAGAATGAACATGTTGGAGGGCATTTATAATAACAGAAAAAAGATCGAGGAAGCTGAGGATCATGTCAATCTTTTTATGAAAAGTATTGCCTTAACCGTCAAAAAGTTACCACTATCGTTAATAACTAAAGCCAAGATTGGTATATTACCGTTAGTTAGCGATTTAGAAATTGAAGCAGTCCAGAACTCTCAATTATATACTCACACTCATAGCTCACAACCATCACAATCACGTGCACCCAATTAGGCATTCCAGGTCACGTGACTTTTGACAGGTCCGCCATATTAGCTGAGGGGCAAACAAAGACTATAGATCATATTGTTTACAGTGTTTTTTGAGTTTGTGCTTCGGAATTTTTGCGTTTTTTGATTTGTTCAATAAGTTTTAAGTTGTTTTTAGTTTTTGTGAATGAATGGAATAAATGAATGAATCTTTATTTACAGACATGCCACTTTACATTTCAACTCAACAATAGTAAACAAACAATTTATTAACAAAAATAATGCTTAAGAATCTAAATTATTTAAAAAATAAAAAAGTTTGATACTAACAGCCTTACAAATAAACTTTAGCAAAATAAATTTGTGGTAGAATGACTCCTTAAACGTTTTGACTGTTCTGATCGGTGCATAGATCTGACATGTAGCTTAGCTTACTGGCTTGTTCATTCTGGGCTTTTATCAATTAGGCAATCCAACGACCTGTCCAAATGGCGTCTGGTTGGCAAACAATAAACAAAAAACATATGTTTTTTTTTTTTGGCAGGATTAAGCCTAGTTCTCATAACAGCGAAATTCTTTCTTTTTTGACATTGCTTCGACCATTTGATGTTTTATGCATGAATCAAACGTCAAAATTGTCGAAGCAATGTCAAAAAAGAACGAATTTCGCTTTTATGAGTACCAGGCTTTATCAATACACGGAACGAGTTCTCAAATCTGACACTTTTCTGACATCGTTGACATGTAAAAACCCGTATTCTAACCTCATAAAAATTTCAAAATGCCCGCTGGTTGGCAAAAGTCACGTGGTTTGGATTCCCTAATTATCGTAGTATATTCTAAATTTGTACTGGGGACCCAATCCGGATTGTTTGTATCCTTAAATTCTGCTGGACTACCTAAAAGGTATTAAAAGTTACCTATTTGTAGAAACATAAACAACTTTTTTGATATACCGAGATGAAGTGTTTTTGTATTTTAACAACAAAACAGTCATAAAACTTACCATTAACAAAATGTTTCGAACAAATTCGAGTATTTTCAACAACGTTACAGTCAAATCTCACCTTTTGAGGCATCTAATTCACATACTCCGTTGTTTTTTTGAAAGCTCGTTTATGCGATCCCCTCGATCTTTGAATGCTGCTGGAATCCTAAAAAACCTCACTTTATCCCTTTCAGCTCTATTGGAGCACCCAAAAACGCCACAAAACGAAGGCATCTTCACAAAATAGTACTTCAAAAATTCTCGGTTTGCATTGAAAATAACATTAAATCAGGTTATGTTTGGCTTGTGTTTGCCCCTCAGCTAAAATGGCGGATCGGTTATGACGTCAACCTGGAATGCCTAATACCCAATCAAGTTCACCCTTCCAGAACTTTCAATTACATTCTTTCACTTACAACCCCCAACCATCACAATCACCTTTACCTAATACCCAATCAAGTTCACCCTTTCAGAACTCTCAATTATATACTCACACTCATAGCTCACAACCATTACAATCACCTGTACCCAATATTCAATCAAGTTTATCCTTCCAGAACTCCCAATTACATTCTTTCATTCACAACTCCCAACCACCACAATCACCTACAAAAAATTCTGAAATCCTCCCTCTAAGTCAAAATACTCACAACTCACAACCCACTCAATCATCAAAAACATTTAATCAATTACGTCCTTTTAATCCTAACTCTCACCATCGGTGTCACCCTTAAATAATTATTTTCAGGTTTTTGATCCACAGTACGATGAGGATCAATGAATACTAGTTTAAAGAGTTATTATATTATTATTCCCACAAAATAGGTTGACCATGCCGGTCATAAGCATTTGTATTTTTTAGTTTTGCATAATTATTTTTCTTACCTTAATGTCAGAGCCAATTTTTTTTCGGATGTGATGGGATATTTAACAAAATTTGTTCCATGGATTGTAATGTCCTGTTCTATTAGTGACAAAACAAATTGGAATTGATCAGGATTCAATCGGAAAAATTCCCTGAACTTTTTTTCATCTTCTTTTAGATGATTTATTAATAAATAATAATTTATTAGGCAATTCAATCCATCTGTCAAAAAGGAAAATTCAATATGGCATGGCGGCCAAGCAAGTTTGTTTTGAATATGTTTTTATGCGTATTTTAAATTATTTTGCTTAGAGTTTTGCTTGCAACTTTGATTTTGATTATTTGATAAAATATTTGTTGAGCATGTACGTTAACTATTAAATCGGGCAGAAACTAGATATTTTTTTGTATTTTTTGGCCCATGTGTGGCCGTCACGCCATCTTGAATGTCACGTGGTTTGAATTGCCTAATTAATAAATGAAAATACCCTTCCTCGCATCGCCTTTTAAACATTTCATCTACTTTACACCTTTTTCTAGATTACATTTGGTAAAATTCTTCTTCATCTTCCTCTTCTTCTAATAAAATTAATGTTATCAAATCGTCGTAATCCATATTTTTTAATAAACCCCGCAAAAATTTAAAATGACAAAAATGCTACAGTCCGCAGTCAACGGCTGCCTAGAACTGCGTCACCGAAAACATCTTTTCATCGCGGCTACAGCTGCCGCGGCCAGCATCTCTAGTCGCGCAACTCGAGCAGCACCACCGAAATCGCACCTTAACTCAACACATTATAAGAGCAAGCACAGAACACATCTACTTATTGTTTGTTATATTGAACGTGAATGTACAGTCGCGGCAATTGGAATTGGCACAAACTTTAAAAACGCACCTCGTATTGCATCAAAATCTGACTTTTTTAACAAGCTGGTAATGCCAAAATTGTGTCAAAGTAATAAGTCAGTGGCGAACTAGAACTGTTTTATAAGGTTTTTAAATAAGATTGAAAAAGAGTAGCTATCACAATACATATCTTTACATTTGAAAAAAAAAATTGGGGGTAGATTCTACCCTTAAGAGATGGGTAAATTCCATGAAAAGGCCGAAAAAATGTGCCAAACTAAAAATAAAGGGATCCTTTTTTTATTTTTCCAGAAAATAAACAGGCTTTCTGATACTGAATTTATTCCATTTAAAAATTCCACCCTGTATGTGCAGTCGCCTTAACCCTTGGTTGTGGAAGTAGTATAATTATGACTTTGAAGAAAAAATGGGTTGAAACTACTTCTACCACGAACCTACAACGAGGAAGACGACCGAGAAAAACAATTCGACAAGAGGATCAATCTCTTCTGATGAGGTAGTTTCATATCCATTTATTTCGGAAATTAGAGTCAAAGAATTGAGTAGGTAGTTTTTCAGCTTCAGTTAGAACTGCGCGAAAGCATATCAAGGAAACTGGATTTAAATGTCATTCAGCCGCTCGTAAACTAAATTCAGTGCAAAAAAATAGACAGTGTCGATTGCAGTTTGCTCAGTTATTTTCTCAAGAACCTGAAAATTTCTGGAGCAATGTAGTTTTCTCTGACGAAAAAGTTTTTTAGTCATGTAATAGTAGCCCAACATTAAAAGTTTATAGGCCACGACGAACCAGGTATGAGGAGAACTACATCCAATTTAATCAGTCTAGCGGAAGACTTTCTGTCCATGCATGGGCCTGTTTTTGGGTCCAAAATTGAACTTGGTGGACATAACATATTACACATGCCACTGACCACTTTTGTTGATTACAGTTTTTGTCAGATTTTGATACAATACGAGGTGCGTTTTTAAAGTTTGTGTCAATTCCAATAGCCGCGACTGTACACCCCAATGAACTATAACCAAAAACAGGAATGCTAACACATAAGGACGAACGTGAAGCCTAGTGCGGCTGCTGCGGAGGGGATACCTGTTTTTGTCGCACTCATTATGTTAAATGGCGAAAATTGCTTCCAACACGTATTCCAATCGATGAAACCTGTGAAGGGAAATATGAAAAAACTTTCGAAAACGTCATATGTCAGCGAGCAACAGAAAAAAACAACATTCCCCCTTGTGGCATCTGTCTTTCATGGCTTCATTTTTTTGGCAGATATGGCAATGTGTGCGCATTCCAGTTTTTAGCTATAGTTCATTGGTACACCCTGTCGTATTGAAGTCGAGGAGTTTCAATATGTTAACAATGCGTAAGTTATTCTTTATTAGAATTATCATTGGTAACAACTATAGTGTCAATTTAATTTGACTGTTGCCTAAAACCATCTTCGCGATTTTTGTTGAGCACATATTCCTCAATAGAGCTCTGCAAAAATATTTGCTGCAGGTAAAATACTTTATTCTATCGCGAATAGTAAACTATCATTTAATTGACTCAAAACTCGTTGTTGAAGTATTTGAAGACGTGAAATCGAACAATTTTTACCCACTCATTTGTCAATTTTACCCACTCATACGTCAATTTTACCCACTTGTTCAAATCTTTTATAATAATTATAGTGTTTTCAACAGAAATCTGTTATGTTGCATGATTGACAACACCAGAAATGTGTCAGTTTGTTAGGTACTTTGTCAACTTGTCATAATCTATGTAAAATTTTAGCACATTTTAGCTTATGATTTTAGTAATTGTGATAAATAAAGTTGCTCAAGAATAAAATAGAATATTACACACGATGGTAAAAAAGCTTTACCTGTTCGTGGAATTAATCGACTCGCTCCTTCGTCGCTCGTGAATCAACATTTTCCACTCACAGGTAAAGCATCTTTTTACCGTCTTGTATAATAAATAACTATTTTCTACAACTGTCAAAAAATGATGATGTTCGCACACTCATGACAGTTTGCGAAGTGGCACTTTTTTTCCCAGGTATTGATTTTCTAACGTTCCCATGACGCCGTGCGCGAACTAGCTATTTCGCGCACGTGTGCGCGAAATAGCTAGTTCGCACACTGGGTGTCATGGTGACACATACCTGTCAGGAAATCAAAAATAATTAAAATTCACCTACCTTTGATTGAAAATGCAATTTTGGCTTCGAATGATTGATATTTAAATGGAGTTGTTTGCAACTCGGGCGCGAAATACTTTGGTGATCGAGATCTGATAGTCGAGCATTTCGCGCCCTTGATACAAAAATAATTATTATCTGCCGCATTTGCCGCAGGTAAAGTAAGTCAAATAAAGTATTTCTTTACTTTCGGAAATTGGTATGCTAATGTATGGTTTTACTGACGGTTGGCGATAAAAATTATTACATCAGCTTTCAAAAGCAGGATTATATCTTTTATGCTGCTTCCATAAAAAAAACTGATAGATATTGATCAATTTTTTGACGAACTTAAAAGTAAATTTATAAAATTGGTTACAGAACAATTGAAAAAACACAGAGCTGTTAAAATTAATGTTGAATTATTTGGTCAATATGTTTTACATTCCAAAGAAACTACTGAAACCAAGTCATTTAATACTAAAAACAAAATTATAACTTCGGATAGTGAAGAAATCTTTAATGGTTTTCTGTCTGTTTTCAAGGAGAAAGTATTAATCTTCACCGAAAATGGATCTGGATGGGCGCTGGAAAAAATATTGTTTTTGAAAGTTAACGTTAACAAGTATAAACCTATTAGAGCTTCTTCATATATTCCTTTACCAAAACAAATTAAGTACAGAAAAGCTGTAATTAATGTTAAAAATAATGACTAATATTGTTTTGGATAGAGTGTAATAAGTGCGTTATTTCCAGCTGAAAAATACAGTGATAGGACGAGTTCATATCCGAATTTCTTTAATATTCTAAATGTCGAAGGAATAGACTTTCCAGTGAAGATGAAAGACAAATTTTGAAGTGGTGAATCAAATATCTATTAACGTATACAGATTAGAAACTGTTTATGAAGAAAATAAGTTTAAACATGAAGTGGTAGGTCCACTTCATTATACTAGTAAAAAACTGCCAACACATGTGAATTTGTTAATTTTTATTGAAGGTAAAAAAGTCATTATTGTTGGATTAAGGACATGTCAAGGTTAGTGGCAGCTCAAATTAAAGGTAAACAGATTAAAATAGTTATTTATGCAACAAGTGTGTAAAGTGAACCTTTTTTCACGAATGTGAATTTTGACGCACGAGCCGAAGGCGAGTGCGACAATCACATTTTTTATTTTTTTTTATTTGTCAAACACATTGTGTTTATTACATTACAATCTAGTCAGTAAGACTAATTAGCAATTTTGTTTTAACCTAATTCACTACAAAAGTTTACAATTCTTGAGGTTCACTCAACAGTTTTCCCCACTTTGCTTAAACTGTAAATCACAATTTTGATGTGTTTATAGCACTGTTTTGTTGTGTTTTTCAATTTCACTTCACTAGCTCGAACGGCTTCACCCTTCTCAGTCTTCTAACTAGCTCAGTATTGTCTAGGAGCTCAATCACTTCCACATTCACATGCCGATGTAGTCTATCTTCATGGCTTTTTGCGTACATTCTTATAGTCTCTGTTACAGTATCAATTCCTAGTTCCCGATGTAGATCACTATTTCGAACGTACCAAGGTGCATTAACAATGTTTCTTAGTACTTTATTTTGGAATCTTTGAATAACTTGTATGTTACTATCTTTAGTGCAACCCCAAAGTTGAATTCCATATGCCCATACTGGTTTCAGTATTTGCCTATAAAGTAGTAACTTGTTATGTATGGTTAAATTGGACGTCCTTCCAATTAACCAGTACATTTTTCTATACTTAAATTCAAGCTCTTGCCTTTTTTTCTTAACATGTGCTTTCCAGCGCAATTTCGCATCAAGCGTCATACCAAGATATTTAGCTTGATTTGAATATGGTATAGGGTTGTCATTAATTGTGATTTGTATGTGATTTACGTTTTTGTTTGTAAAATCAACGTGAATTGATTTGGTTTCATTCAATTTTATTCGCCATTTTTTGGTCCAATTTTGAACTTCACTGACAGCGTTCTGCAGTTTTTCTGTTGATTGTTCAATACTTTTTTCCACTGTAATTAAACCAGTATCGTCGGCGAATGTTGCTAAATGACAATTTTCTGGTTTTGGGATGTCGCATGTAAATAATAAATATAAGTAGGGACCTAGCACGCTACCCTGAGGTACACCTGCTTTTATTTTTCGTAAATTTGACTCAAAATCTTCCTGTTTGACTCTGAAATGTCTATCACACATATATGATTCCAAAATATCAGAATATTGTTTTGGCAGAAACAGCTTTAGTTTATAGTTTAAGCCTTCATGCCAAGACAATCACATGAGTGAAAAAAGGTGCTATACGCACGTATTGCATACAAAATTTTTTCTACTACCATTCAAATATGTGTAAAAAAAATAAATTTGGACAAATACTTTACGCACTAGTGCGTGAAGAATTTTCACTTTACGCACTAGTGCGTGAAGTAATTTACCAGAAAAATGCCAAATTGATAGTGTTGACATCTTTCATTGACATTATTTTACGCACTAGTGTGTGAAGTGAATTACTTTACGCACTAGTGCGTGAAGTGAAATTTTACATCTTCTGAATAGTGCGTAAAGTGAGTACTTCACGCACGGTAGTAGAAAATAGTTATTTTCCTAACAAGTGTGCAAAGTGTTACTTTTCCGCACGCAAACACAGTTATACGAACGACGCGAAGCGAAGTTCGGATAAGTGTTTGCGTGCAGAAAAGACACTTTGCGCACGTGTTAGGAACAAAATTTTTCCTACGAGCTTCATATCAGGTAGGTAACAACAAAAATTTTAAAAAAAAACGATAATTTGTGCAATTATTTTCAATTAACTTGAAGCGAACCTATTCATTCATCAAAAACATACATAACAGAAAAACAGAAAATTGAAATCCTCGTCAGAGCGGTTCATCTTAAAGCGTTTAAATTTGATGCGAAAGAAGCTTGTAGTTTCTTGCATGTAAATGAGAACACAAATCTGACAATGTGTCAAAGTTAATTATATTCAGTGTTTGTATAGATGTTGGCTGATAAACAGAGAACAAATTTGTCATCATGTGTCAAAGTCGACAGGTGCACTGATTGTTGCTTGACAATTATTTTTACTTTTCGGCACCCAGTGCGGATAAGGCCCATATCCGCACTGAGTGCGGAAAAGTGAAACTTTGAGAACTGTCATGCGTGCGGAAAAGTACTACTTTGCGCACGCTCGTAGGAAAAATATTTTTTCTACGAGCGTGCATTTTTTATCACTTTCCCGCACGCATTTTATTTCCGAAAATGTCACTTTCCCGCACTAGTGCGGGAAAATGTTTTTCCCGCACTAGTGCGGAAAAGTGGCGTTCAGAAGTGTCAGTTTTGTTAATTAATCAAACATTTTATCAATTTTGTCTGCATACATTTTTGCTATTTTAATCCATATTAATCTAATTTGTGGATCTTTCAAAAATTTAATAATTTTTTTTGACATTGTATACAGGTATGGTTTTTTTAACGTTGGTTAGCATATGGTACTTGTATATATGCTTGTATATATAATTGTATATATACTTGTATATAAACTTGTATAAGTGCTTGTATATATAATTGTATATATACTTGTATATAAACTTGTATATATGCTTGTATATATAATTGTATATATACTTGTATATAAACTTGTATATATACTTGTATATATGATTGTTTATATACTTGTATATAAACTTGTATATATGCTTGTATATATAATTGTATATATACTTGAATATATACTTGTATATATACATGTACCCTTGATACATAAATAACTATTGTAATTGAACGATTTCTTCAATAATATATCGCTTTGAATTTACTTAATTTTTATTTCTATATTTGAACGAGCTCGTAGAAAAAATAATGTTCCTTACTCATGCGGAAAGTGTCTTTCCCGCACTCGACTGCTTGCCCGAACTCCGCTTCGCGTCGTTCGGGTCAACGGCAGTCGCGTGCGGGAAAGTATCACTTTCCGCACTTGTTAGGAAAATAACTATTTTTCTACTGACGTTTCATAATAGCAACTTTTCGATTGTCATTTTAGTTTTAAAACGACATTCTTTTAAGCACTGAGTGCGTAAAAGTTACTTTAAAGAACTCAAAGCGTAAAAGTGACTTTTGAATGCGTAAAACTGACTTTTGTGTGCGTGAAAGTAATTTTTAAGCACTAGTGCCTAAAAGTGTCATTCATTATTCAGAATTGAAAAACACACTAAACACAGATTTGAATTTTGTTTTGTATTTATTATGAATATTAAAAATGTAATTATTGAATTGAACGTTTGGGTTACTCAAAACAGAAATTTGTGTTGTTACCTACTTTCTGGGATTTTAATTATTGATATCGAAACTTGAAAAAAAAATCGCATGAAAAGTGTCAGGTGTGAAGCAAAAGCAGATAACAAAGATTTTGGGCGTAATCGACTTATTCACATGAAATAAAATTGTGTTTTTTTCATTATAAAATGCCAGTAGAAAAAATCTTGTATACAATGTGTTACGAAACGATGTCTTTTAGTCACTCGACGTGTTGTTCAACTCGGCTTTGCCTCGTTGGACAATTTTCACGTCGCGTGCCTAAAACACGCTCATTTCGTAACTTATTGTATAAATAGCTATTGTGATGGTTGTTTAGTATATTTCAATTCAAAACTGAAATTAGATATACACATCAAAAAAATGATTGTAATCATTTGTTTACAAAAATTCCATCAACTGATATTAGAGTCAATAAATACGGTCAAGATATTCCAGAAAATATACTTCAATTTGAAAATTTTCAAAAACAGTTAAAGGTTCCATTTGTAATATATGCTGACTTTGAATGCGTTTTAAAACCTCTGAAATTTGATGAACCAGGAAATAATAACTGTTCTTCCACTATAAATACCTACAAACATGAGCCATATGCTTTTGCTTATTTTATTAAATGTTCATATGATGACTCTATCAGTAGTAGATTACTATTTTGGTCTAAACGCAGCTGATGAATTTTGTGAACGAATTGAAGCGCATGTCCATAGAATTTATAATAATTATTTGAAACATGTTATTCCAATTTTTTTTTTTTTTACGGATATGCGCACTCGCAAGGAAATGTCCTATCACGCTCGAGAAGCGGCAAGTGCGCGGAAATGTCAGTGTATGTTGGTCTTGAAACGGTTCAGGTTGTAACCTGCAGGGAAAACCGTCGCAGGGAGTTTATTCCACAGCGATGCTGTTCTCCAGAGATATGAATTCTGATATAATGAGGTTCTTGGTGCCTCTAGTTTGACAGTAAATTCATGGTTACCGTCTGTTTGACGGGTTCGCCTGGTAGGTGCTACTCTCGGTGGAATCATACGTGCCAACTCTTCAGAGCATTTTCCGTGATAGTACCTGTAGAAGAGAGATAAATCGCCCACCGTTCTGCGATGTTCGAGACCATCCAAGTTACGAGTAAGTGCGGGGTCATTGATCAGCTTGATAGCTCGTTTTTGCACGGTATTCAAAAGCATTAAGGTATGTTTGGGTGCTGCACTCCATATATGTGAGCAGTACTCCATAGTTGGTCGAATCTGGGCTTTGTAGAGTGTCAGCAATTGGCTTGGTGTGTACAGATGTCTTGTACGAAATAGCACCCCCAGCTTTTGGGAGGCCCTTTTAGCAATATCTGCCACGTGACTGTGCCAAGACATGTTGGTCTCTGCAGTAACCCCCAAGATGTTCA